TCGTTTGACAGCACTAATATATATATATATATATATATATATATATATATATATATTTCCATTTATAATGAAATAAAAAGTAATCAGAGCGAGGACACCTCCTAAGAGTTCTCAAATAAACTTAAACATCAGTCTCATTACAATGATCTCATGCTGTATCTAAAAAATTAAGATGTTATAATCAACCAAGAATGGAATACACAATGAATATGAAATATTAATGTCAAATTACACGCATCTATATATGCATCAGCGTGTGCTCATGAGCCTTTCATGTTCTGCTGCTTTCATCAGTGTTCGCTTGAGTTATATCATTATTCTGCTCTGAGAACCTCAGAGGACTTTAAAAGCCAGCATCAATTTGGATTATTTGCCTTTGTCACAAGCAACACGTTAAAGATGAAATAAGCTGTGTTCAGAGACAGATTAAATGTCAGAGTCCTCATCAGTTCCATCTCTGTCTCTGATCAACGATAACAGGTGACTGTTAAAAAGGTACTGATCTGTGTCAGAGGGCCTGTTGATGTCTCAGAATCCTTGCAATCTCAGAATAATATATACATTTATAAGCATGGTTTACCATGATATGAAACCACATATAAATGCATTTTAATATTGATTCTTTGTTTTGACAGGAGCTAGGGTTGAGACAGTCTGTGTGAGCGCATTAAAATCAATATCCAATTACAATGCAAATTATGTTAATCCACGAAGTGTGTGGTTGGGCAAATATCAAGGTGAGAAGTTACTCATTTGGCAGTCAAATGAAATATTTTTAAGGCAGTCGGCTATAATTAAAGTTCTAGCATTATATTAGTTTTGCTGGGAGACAAGTTTACTTTTTTGGTATATATTCTTATTCAAGGGGTCCTGATTCTGTCATATCCTGCACATACTGCATGTTATCTAAAAAATACCGTTTTGCATTACTCATTCACAATTAGGATCTTCCCATCTGTGCAATGACATGACAACCCAAACAAAACAGCAGACAGCGTGTCATGGGCCAGTGCTATTCAGTGCTACTGAAGTGTGTCACCTCAAGTACAGTTCAAGAAACAGCAGCAAGAACAACCTGCATTCTAATTAGATGGTTGAGTCAGAGACAGTGAAAGGGCTGAGACTTGTTTTCTCAAAGCTGTTTTGGTTTTCTGTGTTGGACAAGCATCGCTCCTCTGCTATTCATATGTTTGAGATGGTGTGATCAATAGCCATTGATTGGAGAATATAAAGTCTGCTGCAGGGCCTCGTTTGAATGTAAGCCACTGATGTAGAAACGCTGTGCCCATCTATTTATAATCCCAGTCTAATTCGCACTTAATCTTTTCATTCCCACATTTTGATAAATTCCGGGTTCTCGTAGATGTGTTTTTCCACCGTAATCATTTAAGGAGTTATACACTTAATCCAGTTCTAGAAGGGTAAAAATAGCTACCGGCCAAACACCGATTGAGATAAATCACAGTTTCTATTGGACGGTTTAATGTTTCATTTGGAGCAGCAAAACTCAACAGAAAACAACCGAGGACCTTTTAGTTTTCAAGAACAGTAGGTCACCTGCAAACTATAAATAAACATGAAGTCGTAATATTAATCATCACCATACGTAATTTTGATTGTGTTGCATATTCATTGATTTTTGACTAACAAAGGATGTTTTTCCTTACAATGTCTTGGATGATTTTATAAAGAAATGCCATTGAATAAAGGATCAAATAACATACCTGTACAAGGACACATGCTACAACATGACCTTTGAGAGATAAATCAATCCATAAATCTCCCTCTGAATACATGTGAAGTTCTAATCAATTATTAAAGTTGCCTATTATTACATCACATCAACCAGCTGGGCAATGACACTCTAATGCAATCTGCTTTATTCTGTAATCAAACCTATTGTCAATTAAACAAACAACAACAGATGGTACATTGTTACCAAGTACGCTATATTTAGGGTTTGACTGAAAATCGGATAATTGTAGAGCAATTTACCTTTGCAGGATACTTTTAAAGATACAAAACGATTTGTCTAAAGTCTTTTATAGATAATTGTATATATTTAAAGCCTTTTAGTACATTTACAGCATGAACTCAACAGTTCAAAGCTATTCTATCACAACAACAGCTATTTATTATCTTAAATGCAACTGCTTTGACAAGTAAGATTGATTTCTAAGGGAATGCTGAAGGACTAATGGTGTTTTAGGAATAAGACTGTCCAGCATTACCATTCTTAACACTTCCTAACAATCGGTATTGATACGAGCTAAAGCAGAGAGTCAGGTAGCCAAATGTCATCATTCATCGCCTCAAGGATAACTCACATCTCTGAAGCGGTTCCAGTGCTTGATCTTGCGGCTGTACTGGGAAATGGTGGACAGCCACTGTTCATCTTCCATGAAATTCCCCGTTTTCTCCGCTTCTTTCCCGCTCTTAACGTCCACCTGCACGGAAAACCGTACAAGCGTCAGCAACGGGACGAGAAGACGTCCCAGAACATTCATCCACACCATTATTCCGCTTGTCTGATGTCTCGATTGCTCTGCTTTAACGGGCGAGAGACGGATGCTGAGACTACAGTGAAGTGTGACCTGATTACAGGATGCGTCTTCCCTGTATAGAGAGAGAGAGAGAGAGAGAGAGAGAGAGAGAGAGAGAGAGAGAGAGAGAGAGAGAGAGAGGCGCACAGATAAGGATAAACTAAGGCTGCATCTTATGAATACAATTAGCATTCCTCACAGAGAGAGAGAGATGAAGAGATGAAGACGCAAAGAGCTGCTGCTATCAAAGCTTGTCAGTAAACGCTCGCTCGGAATTTCATTAAATTCTGCTGTCGTTATAGCTATTATAGGATCATTCGAGATGCCAGTTAGCCCATCACCACTTAAAACAGAAAATAACCATGGGAAAATAAACATGCTCCACACTTTTACCTGCCATGCGTTTTTAAAACAGAAGTGTTTTTCACTTAGACCGCGGGATGACCACTAGACTGTCCTTAAAACAAATGTACCATTTAATTTTATTTTCTTGTTTTTAAATGTATGCATAATAATAACGTTTTTATTGGATTTTACAGGTGTCGCTATACGTTTGGTCACTACTGTTGTGAAAAATATTAATAAAAACATTCATAAAATGATTTTTTTTTTAAATAGCAAATATTGTAGTCATCTTTCTGTAGTTTATATATTCCATTTATATGAGATACTGAGAACTAAATAATTGAGGTGAATCTAAATACCTCAAACAATTTATTTATTTACAATTGGAGAAAAATGAACAGATGTGGGGATCTTTATGCAGGTTACATCAATACTCCAGTAGGAGGACAATAGAGACTATCATTATGAGTGCTTGCTCACTCATTCAATAATTATTTCAAAACACTGAAATGAAACAAAGGACTGTCCTTGTGGGTCATTGGATCGTTCACTCAACCTATTTGTTGAAAAAACTGCTTCCCTTTTTTAACAAATATTGGCTAATTCGAATTAATCAATTTTTGAGTAAGTTGGTTGAGTGAATGATTCAATGATTCACTCATAAATACATTGGCTACTACAATTCCTGCAATAAAGTATTGTAGAAAAAGGAAATGAGTCGAATTCAGCCAATATTTGTACATAAATACCTAAATCGCATTTTCCCCAGTGACAAGTGATATCTAGCCACCACTAAAATGTATTTTTTTCTTTAAGCAGGCATGACATACTACCTTAAATTTTGTAAAGTCAACATTTTATGTAAACTTTATATTTATATATTGATTTACATATTTACGCGCATATTTAGATTCACACACTTCCTATTTCTGTTTATTGAAATTTGCTGTAAATAGACTGAGCTATTATAGCTTGTTTTGTTGTAGTACCCATAAATCAGTAGATAAAAATGTTTGTCATTTTGTTGCATATTGCGTTGTAGTATTAACCTATTTGTAAAGAGCTGTGCAGGTTTCACTTGAACAATGTGTATAAAATGGTTTGCTACACCTTCATTTGCAGCAGGCCTTCAGTTTCATTAGATGTTTTGTGTGCACAAGGGAAAATCTTATTATTTCATTGCTAATGGCAAGATATTAAGTAATATAATCTGTTTCCCAAATGCAACCAGTTCATATTAATGAGGAGCATAAATAGGTATTTGGAGTGAAACCATTTATGAGTGTGCTATTTAATACAGCTTAGGTTTGATAAGGTGTATGGACCAAAGCAAGCAGGCAAATACCATGTTTTATTTCAACGAAACTTAAAGTGCTCAGATAGAAACATGCACCCTGATACTGACACCAAAACGATGTGACATACAAAGCACTGACTGACAGGACAATTGACAGAACACACATGACATCGTTTAGCTGTGTGTGAATATGTCCGTGTATAGTGAAACTCAACCCTGAAAGCCCCACAGGGGGTTTCAAGTGGTCATTTTTGACCATGGCTATAGTTGTCACTTGCTGTAGTTTCATACATACATACATATATGTATGAATATGTGTGACACCGGATTCATATGAAAGAAGATAGGCTGCAGGCAAGCAATGCAAACCTCAACATACTTGACACAGAACATACATCTCTATTAAAGACAGGGTTTTGACAAGCTTTTTTGTATGCATACTGTATTTGTCACAGTTGTGTAAACAAAAACACAAAATTCCAATTATAAATATATTTATATATATATATAAAACACATAAATATCAGAATAGAACACTGGCATTGATGCATTTGGCAGACAATTGTAGGCCTATGCAAAGTAACTTTGTGCCGTTGTGCAAATTCATGCAAATTCAACAGAAGTGATTTATTTTTCATGAAAGGCCTCTTTAATAATAATAATAACATGCACAATTTTGAAGAAGTTATAGAGGCTTTTTCATGATAGATAGATAGATAGATAGATAGAACATGACATCTATGCTGACTAAGATCTATAGAATCAAACCCAAGGTCTTGTTGTTGCCAGAACCATGCACTGTTTGAGCTAGATAGGAAAGAACATAAGAGACATATTGACTCTATATGACTCCTTTTCCTCTCACAAGTACTAAGAAAGAAACATCAATGTTTAAAGGTGATGTTGTACCACACGGACCAGGACAGCGTGCAGTTTTTCCCTGCTCTCAGCACTTCCCAGCACTGCATCGCAGTGTCACTTCTGTCACTGATAGGCTGCAGTGAAGGCAAATCCTACACTTACCCTGCTTCATTTCATTCTTTCGTCTGCAACAAGACTCTGAAAAGTCCCAGATTTCATTACCTTGCACAGCAAGTTACACTCTTCTATGTTTCCCTTTAGTGATTTTTAGTGACACTGAAATGTCTTTTTACCTTTGGTTTCATTTTTGGCTTTGCTGATTCAAGGTGGCAATTTTTTCATAGGTAACGAGACATATGGACATATACTGTATATTCTAACATGGTTATAGGAAAACTGTCATATCTCATTGATCATATCAGTAATCACCGACTGACTGTACACTATTCTGTCTGCTCATCAAATAAATAAAAAGACATGTAGCCTAATACTGATTCAAAGCAACTGTTTGTGTATTTTTGCGATTTTGGAGCCAGAATTTTGTGGGACAGAAAAAGAGGCCATTCACCTTTTTAGTCAGTGTACCATCATCAGAAGGATTTTGAAACTGATATTTCAAGGTAAAAACTTACAGTCAAAGTGACCATACATCCATACGGGATTTCTAATTGCCTAACACGTCAGAGTTTTGGCTTTGTTCTCATATATTCGCTCTCTTTTCCTCCTATATTATACGCATGCGTATTTGCATTGCATTCATTGTTCTCTGTAGATCCCACCTTCTCACACGTCACGATTGGTCGATTACAAAGCCTGCATGCTATTGGTCGAACTACTTTTCAGTCATTACCTTCAGCAAGTATGAAAACAATAGAAAAACAAAGCCGAAACATGGACATTTGAGGCAATTTAGAAATCCCGGTCAGAACATGACGTATAGGCACCCAACACAGGTCTAATTCTTCGAGGGTGCCTCAAACAACAATCCAGTGTGTATTTGTGTTTGAGTTAAGAAGAACACAGACATCTCTGTTTTCTTGAATGCATTGGCCAGTCAGAATCCCTCGCTAAAAATGCCAGAGTTTTTGTAAAGTGCTGAGTTCTGCTCGCGAATCCTCTCATAATAACAGAGTGGACACAATGTAAATAAAATATTCATTTTGCAGTGTAGACAGTTTCGTTGATTATAAGGGAACTTTGTGAGATTGCATGAACTAAAATGAGTGACAGATTTTTAGTGATTATAAAGGGAGTGCTCTTGTGCACTTTCATTTGATCCATTCAGAACATGTGTAAAACCTTTGTTGTCTTTCATCAGTTGCATCAGATAGCTGACGAATATACTGCAACAGTGTTACAATAACATTAATACAGAAGTACTCTGAGGTATGACAGAAGCAACGGTTTCAGTTGCAAAAATGAGCAGACTGATACACTATTGCCATGGACGACAGTGAATATTAAGTCATAATCACAGGATGCTACTACTGACCAATCAGAATCGAGTATTTAGAGAGCTATGTAATGATAATATCTGATAATCTATTTTCTCTGGATTAGAGTTTGTTTTTTAAGCTTTAATCCTCAATTCCGCATTGCAAGGTGTCATTTTTCAGTGCTTCCTCACCAGTATAAATCTGCACTCAAAATGTCAGCATCTGCGTTCTTTTTCTCTGAAACACACAGCATAATCTTTAAAGTGGCTCAATTAATCTTCGCTGAAGGCGTTAAACAATGCCTTAGCCTAATATTGCCTCCCTCCGTCTACAATAGTGGCAGACATGATCTTTGCACAATTTTGCTGACAGTAGGATTTTAGAGTTGTTTTAGGGTTAGCTTCCCTCAAAAGGGGGACAATTTGTAAATGGCATGACATTTTAATAAATTACTCATCTGTGCAATAATGTCGCTGAAGGAAAGCGACCTCCTCATGGTCCAATAGATAAGTGGCTCGGATCTCTATGTTAACCTTAACTGTAACTTTACACCTAAACTTGCTGTGCTGTGTATTGGAACTGCATGAAAGAACACTACATCTCAGCAAGAATTATCCAACAACATCAGAGTTTCTCCTGGCCCTCTGGGAGCTGGGATCCTTTTCGTCCTCCCCTGCAATAAATCAAATCTTAAATGGAATAGTGTTTTGGATGAAGACACACAGAGAGACATTATTTAGATGCAGTGTGCATCTATACTGGGTTATGTTCTTGATATTAATAATCAAACACATTTCTCTATCAATCAAAAAAAAAAAGAAAGAAAAGCTCCAGTATTTTGTAGTCAGACGATATTGTCATGCCATATGCAGTCACAATTAGTTCATAGTTCTGGAGATAATAATGGTTTCAAGACTTTAAACATCAGTGACCACAGACAAAACAGGAGTCTGTCCTCTTTCCTAAAAGCATGGCGTTTCTATGGTTACTGACTACTCAGATCAGTCCAGGGACTGTTCTGTTGCTCCTCCCCTCTCTGTGCTGTCCATTAAATCAGCTCAGTCCATGATTTCATGAAACTCTGACCACCAACACTGAGCCCACTTGCATCAGTGAAAAGTGAAGTGACATGGGGCCAAGAATGGTGACCCATAC